TTGTCTGCTGAGGCCGTGAGAAACGTTTGGATATCTGGCGAGCATTTCCAGCGCAGTCGTCTGGGGGCAGGAAGCTCACTCATGCTGGCTGCCCTCACCAGTTTAGAAGGGCTTCCTCTCCTGTGAGAGAAACAATCTTACAGTCCATCACATTGCGTCTTCACTAGCTTAGTTGCTATTCTCAGGCTGTGGGTATATATCTCTAGTCGTCTCATTAGAGTCGTCAACTGTGCTGTACTAGTGAGAATAAGTGTGCAGAAAGATATTACAGATTCTTTCAGAAGTTAATATATTCTTTGAATTTGCCAGACCAACAGTGCATTCTGGGTAATCAAGAGTTACTTAAAAATTTAATTCTGTAAATGAAATAATAATTTGGCTTACATGTATCTCAGTAGATATTCTGTACATTGCACAAGCACTATTCCCTCAAAAGGTGAGTGTTCACATACAACGCCACAGGATCCATCTGCACCTATTACAAACTGAAATCATTACGGTAGTTTAATTTTAGAATTCATCTTCCTGGTCATATGATCAATGCAATTTGAATCCATCTGTTTTTTTTTTTCTCTTTACCTGCATGGGCTTGTCATACCAACGGTTGCCCCCATTTTTGTCTGTGCCCCCTCCGTGGAGCATCAGTAAAGCTCGGTTGGTATCAGTCAGTTCAGTGCCAGACAGCTCGTCCAAACACACCAGACACAGACAGCGCTCAATCATGTCTAGAGAGTCCCTGTTGGTAGAATCTGCACCCGATTGAGAGGTATTACATTTTATGTGTGTGAATTCCATTAACCTGTGCAGAGCTTTTTGTTTTATCAGGGGAATTTATAGTTGTGTGAGAGTTGCCTTTCCAAATAAAGTCAAGTTGTTTAGTTTCTTAATATTTTGATGTCAAATTGCAGGTCTAGTAGCAGATACAGCTTGTATAGTTGAGGATAAATTATGTCTGACCTTTGATCAGCACGCTGCGAGCCTCGGCCCACTGTGTTCTGTCATCTGATGTGAGCAGACCGATCGGAGGCAGATGCTCTTCTTCAATATCTGACATCTTTCTGATTCGCTCCAGCTGAGTGTAAAGGTCTTTTTCATTCAACCGACGAAAGTTTATCACCACGTCGAGAACAAAAAACTGCAAACACATACAGCATGGTATGGCAGAAAACACATCAATCTTTGTCTTTACTGCTTGCTTATGACTTTTTGAGACAAATTTTAACATAAATATAAGGAACAAGCATAGCAACATAAAAACATCAGATATAGTTGATAGTTTCACTACTAGGTAATGCCTACTTGATTCTTACAAGCCACTATTATATGTTCGGGCTCGGGCATAACTGTGCTCTTCTGAGCCACTAAAGTGTCAGTTTTTGGCCCTGGCAGACGGTAGGAGGTGAAGACCTTGTTGTACTGATCCATACACAGGGACGTCCCAGCTAGCTGCCCACGAGCATAGTCTACAGGGAGGGCACGTCTGCAACAAGCAGCATACATCCATGTTTAGAAAACTATGCAATTAATTATTAGTAAAGTTTTAAGTGTTTGATTTGTTGAAAACAAGGAGTATAACCTACCCATCTATAAGAGATTTATACTCTAATACGCCAGAAATGAGATGGGCAGCAAATCTGTAGAGGAAAAAAAAATGCATATAAGTTTATATATATATATATATATATATATGCTAACATTCAAATTAGAATTATTTATTTATTTTATTTTTTATGTTTTTGAAACAAGTCTTTTATGCTTACCAAGGTTGTGTTTATTCAGAAATATAGTAAAAACTGTAATATTGTGAAATACTATTACAATTAAATCAGTTTTCTATTTTAGTGTATTTTAAGATGTAATTTATTCCTGTAATGGCAAAGCTGGATTTTCAGCAGCCATTACTTCAGTCTTCAGTGTCACATGATCCTTCAGATCATTCTAATATGCTGATTTGGCACTCAAGAAACATTTATTATTATTATCAGTGTTGAAAACAGTTGTGCTGCTTAATATTTTTGTGGAAACTGTGATACAGTTTTTTTTTCAGGATTCTACAGTATGCCAAATAGAAAGTTCTAAGAACAGAAATCTTTTGCAACGTTCATTTTCATTAAATAAAGCACATTCACAGTCAGCAATGCAACTCCATTGTTTCAATTCGTTTTTAGAACAGCACTTAATCAAATTAGGTCTATTAAGAAAGTCATTGGTTTTATTTTATATTCACAAAAAGAGGCTAATGCAAGACTGATGCTTAACATTATTACATCCTTCAATACAACATTTTGAAATCTTTTATGAGAAACATAACTTATTCTATGTTAAGCCTTAATTAAATAGAAATGTCCATCATAGCATGTATTGTTTCCATTTTAGGACTGAAATCAACATCAACCAATGATGGGAGGGGGACTTTGTCTACACATGCAATAATCTGTAGATTAAACTCTCTATAATGAGAAATCAAGTTTTAATGTGCCTCTCAATTACATTGCCATATGGAGCTACAGTTGGTGGATGAAATCATGCAGTAACATACCTGACAGCTTTGCATAATCCTAATGCGTATACAGAATCCTTAACTTAATATCCTCTGCATTTCAATTTAAACAAATTTATATCAATGAAGACATGCAGGGACCATTGTCATCTCAGTTTATAAGAGTAAAAATTGTCCCTGCTGTATCCCCAGAGTCCCGTACCTGAGGGTGTCACTTTGACTCCTGAAGTTCTGCTTGGGAAAGACCATCACAGGACTGGAATTGACAGGTAGTGCTAATCTGTTGCTCAAATACATGTCTTCAAGCCAGTAGTCATACACCTTGGACAATGTTTAAAAAGAGGCAGAATATGAGCAAATAACTTTTAAACAATATTTAACACAATGTGCCTGCACATTAACTGCAAAGTTGCTTACAGAAAAGTCACTTTTTTTCTTAGCAATTAATGCAGTCCTTACCCAGTTGGCTGTATGTTCGCTTCTCTCCAGTAACTTTTTCTGAAGAAATTCTCCCATCCCGCCAGGTGCTCCAAATTTCTCTACAATTGCCTTTGTCTTTTTTAACTGCTCCTCTGGTATGAGGTGACTCGTGCACTTCAGGTACATGTCCAGTGTTTGTTGCAAGGGTGGCACTGGGAGCTTTGGGAGGCCCTAAATCGAGATCATGATCAGAGCTTTATTATGATTTATTAACTTACATTTCAACATCAGGGACAGTTTCTACTTAAGTAGCATTTGTTTTCTTGATCTTATGATATTTGTTCTTAAGCTAATGAGTCTCTTATCTAATCAGACATGATAGAGTCTTGATCCCAGACAAGTATTATTTTTAAATAATTTTGCCCAGTGTTTGACCTGGCTGGATACAACATGATCACCTCTGTTATAATGGCATAAAACAAGATTATATATGTTTTGAATGCAGCACTGTATTTTCAAAATCGTTGACAATGTTTATAATTGTTGTTAGAAGATAATGTTTGAAATGTAATATTGTTTAGTTAAGCCACATCATTTAAAAAATGTACATACAAATATATAATAGTCTTTTGCTTACACTTGGATCTCCCGTGTTTCTTGCTTGTTCCCTTTTCAAAACCGGCATCCTCAAAGTTGAAGAGGTTCAGTCAAGAAAGATGAAAATCCACTGATAATTTTTCCAGTTCCCTCTGGAACAGACATAAAGGTATGAGAGAAAGCTTGCATTGCAAATAGTTTTCAACAATTTCATTTTATAAATATAATTAGGCATAAAAATTCAAAAGACTGCTATCTGGATTTTTCTTTTCATCAGCCACATCAGTTAGACAAAGTTATGACCAACCTGTAATTATCCAAAATTAATTAGAAGTCTAATATTAAAGAAATCTAATGTAGATTTTAGTTCCATGTAGTCCTTATTTAAAAAGGAGTCCGTAAGCATATTGTGTGTGTGTGTATATATATATATATATATATATATATATATATATATATATATACTATTATTAAAAATGTCAACTTAAGAAATACTCACCAAAATGTCATACTCTTTGTGGAGTCCACCGATGTCTCTAAGGATTTATCCAGGTTCATAGTCCCATCATTGTTTTATTAAGAGGAAAGTGTCGTTAATGGTGTGCGTTAACTTGTTTCAGGCGGCATACTTGCGTCCCATTCATTGCAAGTCAGGAGCTTCTTAGGATGCTCCTTAGGAAAGATGCTGAAGGATGCTGAAGAAGCGGTACCTTTCTCAGACTCCACCCACTAAACTCCATTCGCTCGATGCCGCATCTGCCAGCCCACCTCATACTTCAAGTCGAGTCCTTAAATGAAATTTATGAGCACCCTTCCAAATCTCGGAGAAGAAAAAATGTCCGTACACGAACGCGCTCGATAATTTAATTAAAACGAAAAGTGGAGAGGTTTATTTTAGACCCTCTTGCACCAGAAGCAATTGTTTTTCTTCTTTTAAATAAATAGCTTCGATTTACTTCTGTTTTGAGCCTCGTGTATATTTTTCCCCAGAAACGTCCATTTTGGTTAATCGCTTTATATTTATGAATCTTTTTTTGGAGTGGAAAGAAAAGTTTTTTTAGCACAGCCTTTTCATTATGCTATATATTTGCTTCACACCACAGAGGACCCTGTTGCACAAGAATTTCATCCCCCGTGTGTTTTATGCATAATTATAAATATGCATGTAGTAATTATATTTATAACGATGTCCAGTTTATGCTTGTAATTTCTTTGTATTAATAATCTAATTTCTTTTTCGTTTTGTTGGCTCTTTGATGCGTTAAAACTAAATAAGCGAACACGTTTTGCATATGGTATTGCATTACGTTTAACATTAATTTCTGTTTATAAATATCAATAATTACTCATTGTCTTTTATAAGAAAAATGTCATCCAAAACGAAATGAATTCAAATTTAAATGTGTGTATATATTAATGTATCTGTTTAAAGCGTGTAGATGCATGTTGTATAAGTAACAGAAAGAGCGCACAACACGGCGTTTCACAGATTTTCTTTTAATTATGTACATTTGATATGCACATATGTACACCATTATATTCCATAATATACAGTAATGCATTCCAGAAATACACCCTAAACATTTAATACTTGAAACAGACACTGAAAAGGCAGGATTCACACCAGTTCCATCATTTTTTTTATTTGAAGGTGTCAGGTGACATTTTGCATATTATTTGTAACAGCACAAAATCGGCGGAATAACTTCAACGAAGGCCCATTTAATACGTACACACGCATCTTCATATTTAATATGTTTGCACCATATTTATATCCCTGAATACAACTTAATACAGCGGAATACTATACAGTGAAATTATTATTATTTTTTTTTTACATTTCTTCTATTGGAGAAAAAATATTGAGCTCATCATTTCAGTAAATAGATTAAATCATTGTAAGATTGTATGCCGTTCACCAATAGTTTTCCTCGGGACAATGAGTAACATGTAAATGAGTGAATGAAAAAACATTTATATTCAGCAGAGGTTTTAACAGGATTGTAACAGATGAACTAGGACGACTCAGACTATATGTATTCTGGCTCAGACGTCTCTTCTTCAGAGAATGACTTTGGTTGTCCGGCAAATGTCCCGTTCTCGTCGATGGGCACACAGTTACCGGATGAACTGTAGCCGTGCTTCTTTCTTTGGCGTTCCTCCATTCTGATAGTGTCGTAGAGACCTGTGGTTCCCTCCTCCAGTAACATGTTTCTCTCAGAGTGAGATGGTTTCATTAAGCACACGTTGCGCAGGAGAAGCAGGGCTGGTGCGTAAAGTACGTTCGCCAGACCCATGCCCAGATTAAGCTGCACAAAACCGAGATCGTGCACTATTTTACCGGCCACGATGGGACCCAGCGCGTATGCAACACAGTAGGAGATGTCTGCAATAGCGTATACACTACCGTACACAGACACGTGACGGACGTCTACGAGAAAAGCAAGTGTTGGTAATAAAGCTGTGTCTACCAGTGCAATACCGAAACAAATGCCACACAGGGGGATTATCAGCTGCTCAAAGTTTTTGCAGGCCGGCACAATACAAGAGCTGGCACCAATGATAACCATGCCAAGCGCCCCATAAAACCACTGCAAGTGTGGGTACTGTGCTGCCAGCTTGACAGTGATATAAACACCTAATACGTGAGGGAAAAAGGCCGGTAGCCAGGTGAGCCCAATCTCCCACTGGGATGAATCCATGGTCTCCTCCATCCAGTTAGCGATGGTGGGCTCCAGGAAAGCAAGGGGGATGTTACATGTGGTCAAAGCTCCTGCCACAACTGCTATGTAGGGATCAATCATTAGTTTGTAAATTGGGGTGCCAACCGGCATATTCTCTCTAGTCCTACTGGAAAAGGGCTTGAGGACAGTCATGCATAGTATACCATCTGCCAAACATATAGAGGCGAGCACGAAGAACGGCACGCGTTTGCCAACGAACTCGTACAGTACCCCTCCGAACGGGGGCGCCGCCAGGCTTCCGAACGAGATGAACGCGAGAGCAATGCCCAGCGCGCGACTTCTCTCTGCCTCCTCCGTGAACTTGTCTGCGATCATGGCAATCCGCGTAGTTATCGGCGAAGGCAAAAATACACGTCGAGACAAACATGATACTGAGTCCAATGAAAAGTGGGATGTCATAGCCGACTCGGTCTATGAAAGTTCCGGTCAAAGGATTGACAATGAGTTGCAAAATGGCTTTTGAGGCGAAAAGCACGCCGATCTGCACGTCAAAGTTCTCGTTTTGCGTGCTGTTGGTTGAAGAATTACCAGTTACACGCGCCTGCTCTGATTCGCTCTCTAAGCGCGCTAAATAATCGGGCACAATTGGCACGATGACCATGTAAAGCATATTGTCTAGAAGAAGTGCCACACATACAATAACTAGAATAATCCTTCTTTGTCTCTCGGGGTCCTGGATCGCAGTTCCTAACTGTTTAGTTCTTTCCCCCATCTCTGATAGTTTAACGGCGGCGGTTTGCGCCAAGCCACCCGATTCCTCCGTAGTCATGATCCACACTTTGGTCGGTTTAAGCAAAAGACTCTAACTCTCTTCTACACTGCTTTTCTCCCAAAGAAAGTCTGCGCACATTGGGTTGTCCAAAACTCCCTGAAGAGTGAAACCTTGGCACGCGGACCAACTTTTCCTGCTTTACCTAGCAGTCCTTCGTTGCGCGTGCATTTCCTCTCCCGCGACTGCTGTCAGGCAGTGTTGTTTCATCGTATTCGGGTGAGGACGCCAAGTCAAAAACTCACAGTTAGTTCAAAAATTTGCCTCCTTGGTTTTCCCCTTCTTCACGCTGTCATTGTAGCAGGACGCACGGAGCACGAATGAGCATGAATAGATGAATTCACCTGTAGCGCAATGTCATAATTTCTCCTCAGCTGTCTTCTTATTGATGCCACCCAATGCAGACGTGCTTACATGTTGATTCCATTGGAATCGCTCCTCTTTTTTCCCAAGGATGTGACGCACTGTTTGATACCCCCTCAAGTGGTTCCCCAACCAGCTGGGTCTTTTATGCTCATTTAACACGTCAAGCCCCTATCCAATAACGCCAGGCAGTGCTTTGCTTTATAACTTCCAAATATTGAGCGAGCTTCTGTAACTGCTTAGGACCACAAACCTTAAGTCACCGAGCTCAACAGATATGCTGACTGCGAGGAAGATGCCTGCCAGTGTTATTTTAGTTGTTCAGTAAGAACTCACTCACTGAGAATTTATTGACCGCCGTTATTTATTTTCCAAAAAGAAAGTTGTATGTTAATAAACAGTGCGCCCGGTGTTTCTTTTTTCCAGACAGATGCTATTATTCTGCGACGGCTATTGCTTACATTTCGAAATATGATTTTAGGTTTCAGTTCGACGGAAAGGGAAAAAGAAAAAAATTGAAAAGAAAAATTACGCACATAATGTGTAATCTACCCCCTACACCTAGTAATTTCACCTAAGTGGAATAATTGCTACGTAATTATATCATGCAAGGTTAAAATGGGTTTAATTCGTTTGATCAAAGGCTTTTTATGATTGGGGACTATAGTGTATAAACTCAAAACGTAACATCATTATACGACAAAAGGCATTTTGTTAACAAAATAGCAACACTTTTTCCATTAAATAAATTGTAAGTATTGTATAAAAATCAGTTTATTGAATTTCAGCACCACAGCTGGTTGGACAGCTCCTCATCCTTTAAAGCAGATCAGCTGTAAACTGTCAAGATTTGTCCGGAAGCTTTCAAGGTAGCAGTGACAGGAATAAGCATTGCCATTTTTAAAGATTTGTTTTTCCTTGCAGTTGACTGACAACCTGGATGTAACGTGTACTCCTGTTAACGTAGTATATGACCAGTGATTTTACTGTTAACGCCATCTGCTGTGCAAACCCGCCAGCGAACTCGTTGGCGTTTCCTGCCTGGTGGAGAACAATAATTAGGGGTTAGTGACATCTAGTGGTTTGTTTGATATACTGCCTGGGGTCAAACCTGTGCTAAATGGTGAATCTGGACATGCTGTCTTCAACACCTGTAAGAGCCGTTGTTGATTCTTGTTAGTGTTCTTGTTAGAGAATAATCAGATTCCAAAAATGAAGTAGCCTACTTGTAATTACATTGTTACATTTTAAAATACCCGTAATCAGACTACATTTATACTTTTTTGATTAGGCCTACATGATTACATATTATTCACACAGCATTAAATGATAAAAAAAAAATGATTGATTCTCTAATTCTTTATTATTTTCATCTTTTAAATTTTCCACTCTAAAATACTTGGACTTATATACATTCAGAAAGTCTTCCAGTATTGTAGACATTCCCACAAAGACCAGTCACTAGTCAGGTGCCTATAATTACACAGAAAATTGAGAGGCCACACAACATTCAACTACTGGAATTACAAAAATCATTTAAATTTAGTGCATTTCATGACTACTGATTAACACATTAATTTGTATTCGAATTATCGCTCAATGGGTTATGTAACTATGTATTACTATGTCTTTGAATGTGACGTTATGTGTATGCCAAGTAACCCAAGCATTTAACCCGTCCAAGTGCACACACACAGCTGGGCTGGATTTACCTCTTATCGTGACATAGGCACAATACATTTTTGGGCCCCCCTTCCTTATTAATATATAATATTACCACCCCTGCAAAAATATGTAGTATTCAGTGGAAACCGTATATAGAGTTCTCTGTCGTAATAAGCGCAAAATCGTCCAGCTTGCATTTAGTAATTGAAGATCAAATGTAGTTCTTAATTCGTTTGAGAATGGAGAAAGACTGTTCCATTCATAGGCTCTGGCGTCGTGGCCACATTACCACTTCAGGAGTGCATTATTTCTCTAATAGGTTTAACGGCCTGGAGTCACAACCACACCTCAAGACATTGTTCAGATATTTTATTGCAAGACATTTGTCATGTTTTGGGGTTTTGTTTGGTATTATTTTAAAATGATTTATTTTCATTTTACAGGTGAAAATGACAATAAATAGTTAACAATTATAACATTTAAAACAGTTTTATGGAGTTTTTATGTACTGAAAGTTTTATTTTTATTTTAGGAAAGCTAAATATGTTGCTAAACAACAGTATATTAATTGAACGCACTATACTTCTATCCCTTACAGCCTCGTTTTCATTCCTGTCAAAAATTATATATCCTTATTAAGGTCTACATTGGTGGACAAAATTATTAGAACACTAGTATTTTCATCAGCTAAAAAACAATTTTAAGCCAGTTATTTCTATCTTTTGCTGTAGTGTGTCAGTAGGAAATATCAGTTTACATTTCCAAACATTAATTTTGCTATTAATTGTAATAATCCAGTGAGATTTTTGTTTGCACAAGGAGTCTGACAACGGCCAGTGCTACACACACAGACATGAAGAAACAGAAAAAACTTAGACAGACTAAATCCAGAAGAACTGTGGCAACGTCTCCAAGATGCTTCAAGAGACCTAACTGAAAAAC